TATCCAGGCAAAACATCAAGATTATGTGAATTGGTCCAGAGGAGAAGTCAGCCACCTGACCTACCCGACCTCTGGAAAGGAAGTGAGCAACGAAGTCCTGGCTGGAGAAGGTCTTGACGCCCCAGCCCAGCCCTGGACCCCTATAAGATGCCCTGTCTGAACGGTGGGCCATTGCTGGGGCTTGGGGCCCTGGCAGCGACAAGGTCCAGACCCCTGTGAGCACCTCCTGCTAAGACCAGTCAAGGTTGGGCTTAATTAAACATGAGCCTTCAGGGATAATTTTCTCTCCTGGGCTTTTAGACTCTCTTCCTGTCTGTCCTAAGCACAAGCCAGGTTCTTGCTTCCAAACAGGCATGTGAAATGTGCTCAGACATCCCAGAGGTTCACTTAAGACGCCACTCAGGTCAAGGGCACCCAAGCGTGTAACATCCTGTGTCAGATTAAGTCCACAGCGGCTGCTTGTCATCCATATTTAATTCTGTCAGTCTGTTGATTTTTAACTATGTTTGCTATCGAGGGCCATTAGAGGTCCCCAGGAGCCGAGCCCGGTGAAGCGAGAAGTACTTCATGGCAGAGTGGATGAGGCTTGAAGTTGGGGTGCCCCACTTTCCCATCCTGCCACCGAGCTCTGGCCTTCCCCACTGGCAGCACGAATCCTGAATAAAACATGATCCCATTTGGAGTAGATGTTCCTTCTTTCCCCCCTGTCAGAATTGGTTTTCTTCAAGGAAACGTTCACTTTGTTTTTATGAAGGCTACATTTCATATTTCCAAAGTTTCTTCGTAGCCTCGGTTTCGTTTCCAAAGCAGTTAGAATTCACATACTTGTGGATGGTACATGGGTGGCCGTTCCTAGGAAAGGAGGCCAAAAGCCAGCGCCTCACCGTGGCACACACCACAGCCACCGGTGGCCATTCTCGCCCTGGTAGAGAATACAGCCTGGGCTCCCAGGTTCTCTCGCTGGCGTGCTGGTCTTGCATCCCTATATCCTAAACCGCTTCTAATGCTACAAAGGGAGGGTTCAGGAGCCTCCAGGCCACGCCAGATCAAATTCTGACTAAAAGAAGGAAAGAGAAGAGCTATTTTAATAATTACAACTCCATGTAAAGCATTTCACTCTTTCCCTCAAAATGACCCCATGAAGTAGGTACTTACTCATTCCTCCCACTTATAGATGAGGAAGTGGAGGTTCAGTGAGGTTAAAATGAACTTGCTTAACATCCCAAAGGTAGCAGAGTGGGTGGAAATCATCATTAAGATCAGCCTGTACGTCGGACCCTCTGCACGGTCAGACCAGGTATTTGTTAAGGGGCTCTCACTGCTGATGAGGTTGAGGAAAAAAGACACAGCCTCTAAAAAGTTTAGCCTTGACAAAGGACAAAATGAAACATGCTTAAGAAACCCACAAAACAGCGCACCGAGTGAAGGTAACCCTGCTGCGCCCTCGCCAGGAAGAGGCCCACTTTGAGCTGCGCTCTCGGCCACGGCCATGGCGAAACTGAGGAGTCTTGCTGGGATCTGAAACCACGACCAGAGCCATCGAGCACCAGGGGATTGACTCAGGTTTCTGAACAGCCGCTGAGGGCCGCCCAGTGTGGTGAAGTTTGGGTCTCAGTAGCAGCAGCTCTGGCCAAAGGAACGACTAGCCCATCACCTCCAGCTGACTGGCTGGCCTGCCTCTGAAGAGGCCAGCGAGGACAGGCCAGATGTCTGTGTCTCTTACTGCCTTCGTGAGGGCTCCCTAGCTCTCCGGATACCAAACAGCAGAGGAGGAGAGGAGACGGACAGGGAAGGTAAGCAAGGAGAGGGCACTTGCTTGGCCAGGGTGGGATCCCTTGGGGGTTCGGCCACCGGCCGTGGTTCAGCCAAGGCAGGGGAGGGAACTCTGCCCCCTGGAAGTGAGGCTGGGCAGAATTCTAACGGATGGACTGTGGGAAGAATGAGCCGGAGAGCCCAGGGAGGAATGGGCCGGATGACCCGTGGGTCTCTCTCTCCTCCAGTTTCTCTGATAGGAAAGCAAGATAAGACAACAGCTGGGAAGTTCAGGGACAACGGGTCTGAGTAAAGCAACATACAGGAACCATTTGGTCTCTCTGGGAGTTCAGCTGTTTCCCACTCCTCATCTATTTCCTGTCAGGGAGAGGTTTTCTCCCGGCCGGCGTGTCCCAGCCCAGCGTCGGGGGGAGACTTCCTCTGGGGACAAGCCCTCCCGGTGCGGACACACGCTCCAGAGACTCCACTGCTGGGTGTAGGGCAGGTGTGGTCCCTCTGGTGGCTGTCCCTTAAGGTCTCTTTGATTCTTTCCAACCTCAGGCCTTCCATTTGGCTGCAGCCTTGAGGATTGCAGCGCCATCAAGCGTGGTCGGGACGTGCTGGATGCCCTTAGTGTTTGAACCGTCACAGCTTCAGGAGTAGCTGTAGCTACACGGACGCCTCCTCCTGGTTGGAAATCCCAATCTTCCTTGCAAGGCTAACATTTATGAAGCCCTTACTCTGTGCCAGAACTCTTGTCCTACACAAGGGATTATTTGCCCTACTTTACTGAGGCCCAGAGAAGTTAAGGAACTTGTTCGGTCAAGGTCATACAGCTCGTAAATGGCAGAGCCAGTGTCTGACCAGGAGGCTGCACAGCCTGCACTTGTGACCCTCCGAGGCCGGACCCAGAAACAGCCCAGAGGCGGCGCTGGCAAAGCAACGGGGGCGCAGTGCTCCTGCGTGGGAGCCGCGTGCCTGGAGCTCACACGGGGCCGGCCTGGCCGCCCTCCCCAGGGGCTCCCAGAGCAGAGAGCTAACCAAATCAAGGAGGAGACAAGGCGAGCACACTCGGTGGGCAGAGCGCCCAGGGGCAGTTTTCTCCTCACAGTCTGACCTTCATGGAGCTGTAGGTCAAAAGGGAAATGTCAGAGGATTAGCAGTTTCATCGATGTCTTAAAACAATTTAAAGCCTTGGGCTGATCAGCCCCCAGAAGAATCTCTGCGGCGCTTCCAAGCTGTGCTCTCCCAGTCACGAGCCCTGGACTGCGGGGGGACAGCGGCTGCTGGAGAAGGCAGGCCTCGAGGACCAGGTCTCAGGTGAGAAGAGCTGACGCCACCCAGGAGGCACAGAGGCAAACGCCCTGCATCGCCCGACTCGTCCCTCACCTTCGGGAGGTGGGCCGGCCGCGTGTGGCGCTGCAGACCCTCCCGGGTTTGGTTCACCGGTCCCACTACGGGACCAGCATCCATTAGAGCTCTGGCTACTGCCTTCTGAGGAGGGCAGAGGCTGAAAAATAAACGCCCTTCCTGTGGGAATCCCCCTACGTGGGGGGGGGGGGGGGGGGGGGGGCCAGGGCCCTGTGCTCGGCCGAGTGCATACTCACGCCTGCCCTGCTTCCTAGCTCTCTCAAGACGCTCCCTCGCTCACAAGCCACGCACTTTAATCACACCCCAGGCCAAACCAGATGCCCTGCTGTCATCTCCATAGGGCACAGTGAGAGAGGAGGTGCCTAATAAAATCGGTCTTTATAAAAAAGTTTAAAGATTCAGTTCTCAGAAGCTGCCTATTGCTGCTAAATGCTTGGGTACGGGGGGAGGAGGGCAGCTCTGCGCCAGCGCTCACACACCTTTCTCTGTTTGCCTGGGTCACTTTCCCATGGTCCATTTTTATATTGATTTTGGGTCTAACCTCTAAAATTTTTCCAACGTGTCACAAGGCACCTCCCAAGAGGCATGTCTTACCCTGGGAAGTCTGTACTGTGATTTTAAAACCTTGTGCTTATATACAGGTGATGGGTTCCGGCCGGAAGCCCTGGAAGATCGGCTGTTAGGGCAAATGAGGCCTCTGATGGACAAACAGGTAACTAGGACTTGCTCCCTCAGCCCTACTTACCTGTAAGGGTTTCTGGCCCAACAACGTGGCTCTGGTCAAGGGTAAATGGTATTGTTTCTAGAATGTAATGACAACAGTGTACTTTACCGGCTTCCTCTCTGCCATGTCAGCAACAAGACCAATGACTGCCAACAAGCAAAACTGAACCCGGACGGAAAAAGCAGAGAGGTGGGACTATGATGTGATAGGAACCGTTTATGTTCTTTTGTCTAACTTTCCTAAAAGCCATGGATGAAACCTTCCCTCCTATTCACAGTGACTTACAGAATATATTTAATACATTTCACATACCAAGGATGGGATTAACAGAAATGTTAATGATCTTAAAAATCACTTGTTTGATGTGTCATTTCTACAGTTAACAAGGCAGTACCACAGCTTGCAGTCCCGTTACCTTACGCGATAATGCTTCAAAATTGGGATTTGGGGTCAAATAAGCATCTTCCATTTAGACTTGGAGGCACCAGACCACAGACGGAAGCTGTAGTAGAACTAGCAGACGGACACAACTTGTTCGCAATGACAGTTTCTGTGCCCCGGGTCCTCCTTCCTCTGGATCAGGGCGGAATGGAAGGAACATCTATTTGCTTCAAACAGGCTTCCGACAGCCAACACACCATCCCCGTTGAAGCAAGATCTCCAGGTAGAGGCGATGCACAGGTGCTAGAAAGAGAATCTTCCAAAGTGCAGCTCTTGATGGTTCGGGAGCCCAAGAAGAGACCGGCTGCAGCAGCGAGGCCTCGACTCTGGGCCAGGTCTCCCTGGGTGCTCTGAGGCCCTCTCCCACGTAGTGTGTGATCAGCGCCACGGCGGCCCAATTCTCCCACCATCTCAGAGAGAACGTCTTAGCTCCAAACTCGCATCATCATGAAAACAAAACGCTGCAGTCTACATGAGATAATTTTTGCTCTGATTAAAATTTTTATTGAAATCTCTCAAATGTTACCAAGAAATAATTTTTGCAAAATGGGGAAAGGTAGCTAACAAGCAAATTCAACATGGGAGCTCCCTCTGCTGGTCTGGAGTAGGTTGGTATGTTACAAACACATTCCCAGAGACAAATCTAATTTGCTGGAGAAGTGGACAAAAGACAGGTGTGTTGGGCTTTGCCTCAGGAGAGAAACACTAGAAGAAAAAAAAAATCCAAGTCTCAAAACAGAGCACAACATTGCTATGAGAAACAAAATAATATAAAAGCTTCTCCAAAGACATACAGAAAAGATCTCCAAACAAAACCGGAACCATCCACTAAGGGGACTGCTCCATTTGGTCTTCCCCACTGCTCTACCTCCAGTTAATAAAAGTTCTCTCAGGCCCTTCTGGTGAAGGAAGGTTAAGTTCTGATTCCCTTGTCTTTGCCTCCAAGTCTCTTCTTACAGGCTTCTCATCTACTTAGAGAAGAAAGATCCAAGGAGTCACTGGAGTGAGGCCTTTCCAAAATTCCATCAGAGTTAAGCCTTTGGTGAGCCAGCACTGAGGCGTGGAAAGAGCAAGCCTGGGAGTCAGGTGACCTGGCTCTAGTCATGGCAGGGCCATTCGCGGCTCTGGAGAACTCTTTCCATCTTCTCCAGTTGGTTTCCTCAACTGTCAAATGGGCCAGACCTGCTGATCGATCAAGCCCCTACCGGGTTCATTCTATGATTCTCATATTGGACAAAGAAATTTAAATAACCACATCTGTTCACAAGTCTTTAGGATACAGAAGCCAAGCTTCACTGGGAATGACTTCAAACCACAAGTTGTGGGGTTGAGTATATGGATCTTACTGGTATCGGATGAGAGTTCCACTCTAGGACCGACGTGGCAGAGCCAAGTGGATTCCAGGCTGGCAAAGTCTTGAGATCAAGGAAGAACTCACAGGGGAAGATGCCACCATGAGCAATACATCCCATTAAGTCAAATGGTTGAGTCACTGAATCTTAGCACTGTCTTTCCCTAACCTTTCTCAAAATGCCGTGGGCTTTCTAATCTCTTAAGATTCTTTAGTTCCTTCTCCCACATCCCCGGATATACTTTGGATTTCATCCATTATATAAAGGGCAAGTTACCCAGATGTTATGGCCCAAAAGCTACCATTCCCAGTCCTTTTTGGCCAATGTCAATTGTTCCCTTTCCACGGTAATGGTGAAAGGCTTTGCTGCTGATTAACCAGAGTCATCAATATTCAGATGACTCTACAAACTTGGCACTGTTTCACAGTATTATTAACATTTGCCTCAACTGTCAGTCTGTATTTAAGCAGTCTAGCAAGAGGAACAAAGACATATCCACGGATAGTGGGGGCAGGAGTCGCTTCCCGTCATCGACAAAGTTCTCCCCGAGGCCACTAAGATGATTTCAAGAACTCAGAAGATATGTCCATTGGTTTAGGTTTTATCCCTTCTCCCTCCCCTGCTACCTGCCAGGAGACCAAGCACTGACACGGACAAAGGTGGAAAGCAGCGGCGGGAAGCGGAGGGGACGGGAGAGGGCACAGCAGATCTGGAACCTGGGTCAACAGTCTTAGGACTGTGCTGCTACCAGAAGTGATGCTCTGTGCCCAGTGCTCCCACCGCCACCATCTACTTTTCTTTCACTACTGGTACTGCTTTCTACGTCCTCCTCCCCACGCCGAGGGTCATCACACCGGGAGCCCAGGCTCCAAGGCCCTCTCTGTGTAGTCTGCCTGCACGGGCCTGGGCAGCTGGGTGGTCAGCACGGGCACGAAGCACCAGTGACCCGCTGGAAGAGAATGGACGCATATGCACCAGCAACGCTCCTGACCCCGCGGCCTGTGAGGACGTCAGCTGGGGGACTGCTTGTGCGTGTTTTACACAACATGGTGAATTCTGTACAACATGAAAGAGCTGTCAGTCAGAAGGAAGAGTATTCTGGGAAGCTGGGTATTTCATCCAGCCTTGTAAACAAACATGAACCAAACAAAACCCTCACCTGTCTGTCTAGGCCAAAGCTCTTCAGAAACCAGGCTTTCCTGCTTTTAGGAAGAGTTCTCCATGCGCTAAGACAAATGAAATCTGTATGGTCTCTTGCTGTTCCTCGTCACCCTGAACCCGAACATTCATTACTACTACCTGCGCTAGAAGCAAAACTAAGAGCAATATTTTTTGTCCCAGGGGAGAGGAAAGGTTGATATGTAGATAATAATCTCTGTGAAGAAACAGGGAGTTTATGAAACTCAGGCTACCCTTAACTGAGGAGTGGGTCAGATAGAGACCTTTACTTTGACCTGTAATTACATTCTTGACACTACACTGGTACCTCCTTTTCTACAGGGTTTCCTAAAAGGGGAAAAAAGGAGTCCTTCATCTTTCCTGTAACCTATGTAAGACAGCACGCGGTCTTTCTAGAGGCTCCCAACGTTCCCCTTTGGTCACCAGATCTCAGGGAACACGACAGCAGAAATCTCTCAACACACAGGTTCACACACAGACACGTAGGTCCTGCGACAAGTGGACGCCTCCCTGTGCAGCCTTTCCACACGACCAGGCACACACGACTATGTTCTGGTGACGCCCTCTAGCTGGCTGGGCCCAATCTCTCGTGTGTGATATGAGGGTGAGATCATTAAGGAAGAGAGAGGTGTCATCTGGGGCAAACATCAGGCAGTGGGTGATATCATTGCTGTCAGACGGTCCCCAAGTCCTAGAGGAGTGTCAGCTTGATTTAGAGGGGATCATTAATCTCCCGCAGGTGGGTCTGTTAGCTGGCTAGGTGTTAGTTGTATGGTGTGCTCTGGGGAACCAGGTTTGAAAGGACCGGTGGTGGAGTGAGTGAAGTCGTGGCCGATGGGTATAAATTACCTGGGCATGCAGTGAAGCGGGATAGGTGAAAGCAGGAGGAGGTAGAGCAGGCGCTAACTCCGCTGGGTACAGAGGGTACGGGGCCCACACTTCAGGGCTACTGGGGTAAAGTGCAGGCACTGTGAGCTCATCTGCAAGAAAAGAATAAGGGAAGAGTTAGTGGTTACCAAACAGCTGCTTTCAAATCAGAAACAAAACACCAAATAACCCCAAGTCCCAATCAATGTCAGGAGTCAAATTACTCTCATTCTTTTAAAAACCTGCTGGTTTTGTTTTGGTCCCCAAACTCGAAGCAAGGGAATGGTAAATACAAAGCGAAAAAAAAGCGACAGGCATCTGCTGCCTGTCTGGCCTGCTGAGAGCTCAGGCCTGGGCTCTGCCCCGGACACTCTGATGTCTTTCCAACCGGAGCCGGGGGAACACAAGAACAGTGGGGATTTCCTGCACAAAACCGCACACGTGGCCCTCTGAGGAAAAGAGGAAGAGAGAGAAGCGGGAGGAGATAGCCCATGAAAACCCACCGCAGGGCCTCTGGGAGAACAATGGCTTTACGGGCAGGACGAAAACAGACCCGAACTATAGAGCTGTAGGGCTTCTCTGCTCATCCATGTCATTACTACTAACCAACAAATCACCATCACCAAGCACTATTCACTGAACACTCAGAAGCCCTGCGCCAGACACTATGCCTGCAACACACTTAAAATGTTAAAAACTCAGAGAACAGAAGTGAAAAAGCCTGGAGTATCCTGATCAAGAAAGATGCAAATTAGAACATTCACGGTCGCTGCTTACACAGACTGTATTTTCTAGGGGGGAGAAAAGTGAGTCAGTCATGTTGCCAACTGACTGGTCTAAATCTGATTCCATTCAGGTCAAGCTGCAGTTTGCCAGATTGAAGGGCAAGTGCCCGGGGCTCAGAATGTATCAGGAAGCAATCCATTAAAGTAACAGCAAACACATGAGGGAGCGTCTCAACACAGGCAAAAATAACATCAGTCAATAGTTATGAATCTGGACTCTGCGAAGAAGCAATCTCAATATGTGCTTTTATCACCTGTCAAAATCTGAAATCAAGTAGACCAGGACTGCTGAAGGAGGCAGGAAAAGGTGACTTATAAAGCCATTAGAGACTCTGCCATTCAGGATTTTGCGGAAGTCTAGTGTGCCTGTGACCCTCGGTCAATAAAGTCATTTCACTCCTTCCCACATGGAAGAAGCCACCCCAGGCCTGCTCATTCCAGGTCTCTCTCATTCTCGCCATCTGCCAAAACCCTGGCTCTGGGCAGGGTTTTCAGTATGGGAAGGGGGCTGGAAACAGAACTTTCCTGAATGTGATGTGGGAACTGCTGTATGGGGCAACCGGAAAGCATGAGCCCGCAGGTGCGTGTGAACCCGGGGCGTTTTTCCACAGCCGCCAGCATGGCAAGAACTTCTGGCAAGATGGCGATTCCAGAGCTGACTGAGGACTGTCCGTTCGGAAGGCAGCCGGGGATCCCGACAACGTGGTGTGCTGTACTGTGGCTGGCTGGACTCCCCTTTTCAACAGGGCAGTTAAAAAAAAAAAAAAAAAAAAAAAAAGAGTCTTCCTCAGGACTTGGTGATGAGAACACAGACTGCTCGTGTATCTAGGCTGGAGAGCCTAGCCCGAAGAGTGGACTGAATTATTTGAATAGGAAAACAGTAGCATCATAAGCCTCTTTAAAATGATCAAGTCTACACCACCTATTTCCAGTTCGAGGGTGTATAGGTGTCTGCAGTTTCTGTAAGAAAATTCCTAACAGCAGGGTTGGGAGAATGCTTCACAGACCTCTGCGCTTCCGGTCGTGACGAGACCATAAGATTTCCATTAGAGCAACTCTTGTGGGAGCCCCGCTTGTGGAAACTAACTGCTGCCAGAACTCATGCCTCGGGTTTCAGACAAACAACCGTTCTCGGGAATGGCAAGCTATTGTTGTTGTTGTTGTTACTGTTATTCCAGCTACCATGCTATTTTAAGACATTCTGAGCCTTAAAAAAAAAAAAAAAAAGTCCAGAGCGTCTCAGCACCCAGCACGCTAATGTCTTAGCCCCATGCTTGCTCAGCCCCACCGGGGGGCTCTGTGTGCCATCAGACAAGACCACACCGGGCCCGCAGCCCTTCCAACAGGAACTAGCCAAGTTGGGGGTGCTTTTCTCTGATCAACTTTCCTTTAGAAAGTTTTAAAAATGAAGTGAGATGTCTTCTAAGATATCTGATCCTGGAGAGACAAAGAGTGGAGATAGGGGGAGCCGGGGTTCCAATCTCAGCCTTGGCTGATGGGATTTATGTTTTCCAGACATTTTCTACATTTTTATCCTAAAGCATTACTTCCCACTGGGTCTAGACTGATGCTCAGAGGCTATTCACTGACCAGCATCGGCATAAAATGTAGCCCAGCAGAATGGGGCACATTTGTTTCCAACGGCCCCCCCCCCCCCCAACCCAACCCAAAGCTGCTCAGAGTACAAGTCAGGTGAGGGGAGTGGAGGCCTACAATAGGCTGGAGCGAAATCTCACCACCCTTCCCTGCTCCCCTTGTGACGCAATCTGGAGTTACCATAAACGTCAATGTGCAGCAGAGTGGGCTGGTCAGGAGGAATCCTCACAGCCAAGTGCCCAACGGGTTGGCTAGTGAGAGCTCAGGAAGGCAGGATCCAGGTCTTAACCAAGTCTGTACCCCTGGAGCCAGCTCTGAGACTGGCATTTAGTGTGTAATAATGCTTGCGGGACTGAATGGGGCCTAGTGGTAAGTTTTAAAAACTGTTTAAAGATACACCACTGTTTTCTTTATTAAAGGACTTAGGAAATATCTTTATTAAAGGAACTTAGGAAATATCCATAGGAACTAGATCTAAAATTTCCCAATCCTTTCAGTATGTGTCACACTAAAAAACAAAACAGAAAACATGAGCAAAAAGGAGGGCCGAACCAGAACAAATGTTACAGAAGAGTAATTTTCAAAGTTCAAAATAAAAGCAGTTGGAACCCATTCTTCAAACTAACTTTCCGAGAATCCCTTTTTAAACAAAAGTGTAGCTAATTGTGGTTGCCTTGGTGGTGGGTAGCCGAAGGACTTCAACCCACATGTTCGTCCCCCAGGCCCACCAGGGGTCCAGAGATCACTTTGAAAACTGCTCTGAGAGCTGCGCTCACCCATGGACCGGACCAACTCCTCTTGGGGCGCCTGGGTGGCTCAGTCAGTCAAGCATCCAACTTTGGCTCAGGTCGTGATCTTATGATTTCTGAGTTCAAGCCCTGTGTTGGGCTCTGAGCTGACAGCTTGGAGCCTAGAGCCTGCTTTGGATTCTGTGTTTTCCTCTCTCTCTGCCCCTCCCCTGCTCACACTCTGTCTCTCTCATTCTCTCAAAAATAAATATTAAAAAAGAAAAGTAAGCTCCTCTTCCAAGTCTGAAGACTAACCTCATTCCTGCAGCTCCTGAAAACCCACCTGAGGGAGGGAGGGAATGCCAAGGGCAGCTGGAGCAGGGGAAGAAACGAAGAACACTGGGGTGACTGGGACAGAACCAAGCAGGCTCTCCTGAAAGACTTCAGTGCCTGAAGTACCTTGGAATGCCGAGGGCGTCCTCAAGGGAACATTTAGGGCCTTACAAAGTGCAGAAAAATCTGACCCAGGAAATACAGGTGAAATGAAAGGAAGAAAGGTGAGCAAGCCAAGTCAAACGATGTACTCCTTGCTCCGCGCTCCCAAATTCTATCTTCAGAGCTGCACTACGGCACCCATGGCGCACCCAGTGCTGGGAGTCCATGTACCGGAGGCAATCACCTGCAGCTCTGGCAGAAATGCAAATTCGTAGCTCCAGACCTACTGAATCAGAATTCTGCCCTCCAGGTGAATCTGATGTGTGCCTCAACTTGAGAACCACTGATGTAAGCGCTTTGTCTTGTCTTTCTTAATGGATTATCAGATGCTGGAGCGGAGTGTTATGCATGTCGCTCTCAACGAGCTTAGCACAGTACCTGCTACACAGCAGTTGGTTTAATGAATGGATGAAACACTCCAGGAGAGAAAATGCAAAAGAAAGCAATGATTCTGGGCTTGTTCTGTGAGAGAAACTGGAAGGTGGGAGCAGACCCAGCCTGACAGCACCTGCTTGGCTCAGAGCCACTAGTGACAGAGCAACACAGGCGCAGTGGGGTCAGCTAGACCAGGTTACGATCACACCTGTGGCAACCAAGCCCCCACAGACATTTCACTAGGACGGCTGCGCAATCTCTGAAAATCCACATACTCTGTCTCGTCAGAAGAGGTAGTAAGCTCAATTTGTATACTCTTTTTGGTTGCTAATGTGTTGTAATTGAGAAAATTACAACTGGAGAGATGGGTTTTCCATAGCACAAGCCCTTCACACACACAGATGAGCAACGAAGGAGCAGCCAGGTGGCTCGGGTGGGTTTCACTCCCCTGAGTCACTGCCAATTTTCCTCCAACATAAGAGGATGGGAAGGCTGAAGAAAGAGAAAGTCTGCTTGCTGCCCTGGGCCCACTGGGATGACCACAGTTCAGGGAGGGGGTAAGACCGCCCCCTAACTACACAGGCTCTTGACCCCCCAGGGAGCCAGGCCCCAGTGAGGGGAGGGATCAGGAGGCCAGGGCTTTGTGTCTGGGCCTAACGAGACCCTCTCCTGAGAGGGTGGTGGGTCACTCCTTTCCCATTACTCCAGATCCTTTTCCCAGTTTGCACCTCTGAGGATACAAGTTGTTTAGGGCTCACAATATACATCTGATTAAGCCTTTTCCTTAGCATAAGAATATGCAACTGGAAGAGCTCGAATTGTATTCTGGCAAACAACGACTAGAAACTTCCCCACTCCATCTTCCAGTCCCTTTGAAAAGAAAAAAGAGCAGTGTCTGATCAAGGTTTAAACAAAAAGAGCTAATGAAGATCATCTCGTCTGTCTTTTCATTTTGGATGAGGAAGCAAACACTCAGAAGGGTGAAGCTTCCAGCGTAAAGTCACAGTGAAACAGATAAAGATGAACTGACTCTCAGAAACAACGGAAAGCAAGAGGAACAAGGAGAATCCATAATGGACTTAAACTGAATACAGTTGAGAACACAGGTCCAGGAACTTTAAGTCAGTATTTACT